GAGGTGGTTCCTGCAGCTCCTGGGGCGGCAGGGGACAGGCAGGACCTTGCTGAGGTGGCTGATCCCTGCCAGGTGTGACCCCAGGGAGCCTGTTCAGGGCTGTCTGCACGCCAATTAATGAATTAATGAATTAATTCTGCCAAGGCCAGGCTCAGTGCTCAGCGCTGGGGGCAGCCTGAGCGCTCCCCTGAGCTCTGACCCCGATTTTCTGCCTCCCGAAGAAAATCAAAGCAATCAAGAAAAAGCTGAGCGTGCTTTGCATCGACTTCAACAAGAACCTCAACGAGGACACCACCTTCCTGCCCTTCTCCAGGGAGGAACTGGGTATGGAATGCCCGGACTGGGAGATCCCAGAGCATTCCTGGACAATCCTGGGCTCTCCCTCAGCCCCTGCCTGCTCTTTTCCCAGGGGGGCTCCCCGAGGATTTCCTGAACTCCCTGGAGAAGACGGAGGACGGGAAGCTGAAGGTCACCCTCAAGTACCCACACTACTTCCCCCTGCTGAAGAAGTGCTACGTGCCCGAGACCAGGAGGAAGGTGGAGGAGATGTTCAACTCCAGGTGCAAAGAGGTCGGTGGGGCTGGCCGGGGGATCTCCCCTGGGATTCCTGTTCCTCTCCACGCCGCTTCCCTTCTCCCCTCGCTCTCTGCCCCGCAGGAGAACTGCCTGATCCTGAAGGAGCTGGTGGACCTGAGGGCTCAGAAGGCAAATCTGCTGGGCTTCAGCACCCACGCCGACTTCGTGCTGGAGATGAACATGGCCAAGAGCAGCCGGACGGTGGCCACGTTCCTGGGTACGCCCCGGTGGGCCGAGCAGGGACATCTCGGGCCGGGTGTGCTGCTCTGATCCCAGATCCCAACCCTGCCTGCCTTCCCCCAGATGAGCTGGCCCAGAAGCTGAAGCCCCTGGGGGAGAAGGAGCGGGCCGTGATCCTGGACCTGAAGAAGAAGGAGTGCGAGAAGCGCGGGCTGGAGTTCGACAACCGCATCAACGCCTGGGACATGCGCTACTACATGAACCAGGTGGAGGAGACCAAGTACAGCGTGGACCAGAACCTGCTCAAGGAGTATTTCCCCATGCAGGTGGTCACCACGGGCCTGCTGGCCATCTACCAGGAGCTGCTGGGCCTCACCTTCCACCTGGAGGAGAAGGCTCAGGTGTGGCACGAGGACGTGCAGCTCTACACGGTGAAGGACACGTCCTCCGGGGAGACCATCGGCAAGTTCTACCTGGACCTGTACCCACGGTGAGGCCTGGGGCGAGGGGAAATCCGGGAGCAGAGCCTGAGGAAGGGGAGATTCCGGCTCCCAGACCCCAGTGTGGGGTGCCGGGGCAGGGACGGGGGTCACCGGGAGCGTCACCGGGGGCGTCACCGGGGGTGTCACCGGGGGTGTCACCGGGAACGTCACCGGGGGTGTCACCGGGGGATCCTGCTCTGAGGACCGCAACAGGGGAGGAGAAGGTGGCTGTGCCTGGCTTTGGGGAGGATCCCTGAGCCTCCTGTCCCTCCCCCAGGGAAGGGAAGTACGGCCACGCCGCCTGCTTCGGCCTCCAGCCCGGCTGCCTCCTGCCGGACTCCAGCCGCCAAATCTCGGTGGCCGCCATGGTGGCCAATTTCACCAAACCCACGCCGGACGCCCCTTCCCTGCTGCAGCACGACGAGGTGGAGACCTATTTCCATGAATTCGGGCACGTCATGCACCAGCTGTGCTCTCAGGTGAGGCCTCCCTCGGTTGGGGTAAAACCCTGTTCCCCCCCCGTCCCTCTTTCCCGCGGAATTCCGAGCCGGCCGCGTCCCGCAGGCGCAGTTTGCCATGTTCAGCGGGACGCACGTGGAGCGGGACTTCGTGGAGGCGCCGTCGCAGATGTTGGAGAACTGGGTGTGGGAGAAGGAGCCGCTGCTGCGCATGTCCAGGCACTACAAGAGCGGGAGCCCCATCCCGGATGAGCTGCTGGAGAAGCTCATTAAATCCCGGCAGGCCAACACAGGTGGGAGGGAATGGATGTCCCCCGGCTGTGGGGACGCTCAGCTGGGGACGGGAAAGGCTTTTCCTTGCCCTGGGGGTTCTGAGGGGATGGGGGGAAGGAGCATGTGGGAGGAGGGAGGGTGATGTGGCACGTGACAGTGACAGAGAGGTGCCACCCAGGCTGCCCTGCTGCCACCAGCCTCGGTGACGCTCCTGCAGGCAGCGTGGCAGCCTCAGTTTGTCTCCTCCTCCTCTTCTTCCTCCTCCTTCTCTTCCTCCTCCTCTTCTTCCTCCTCCTCTTCCTCCTCCTCTTCTTCCTCCTCTTCTTCCTCCTCCTTCTCTTCCTCCTTCTCTTCCTCCTCCTCTTCTTCCTCCTCTTCTTCCTCCTCCTCTTCCTCCTCCTCCTCTTCCTCCTCCTCTTCTTCCTCCTCCTCTTCCTCCTCCTCTTCTTCCTCCTCCTCCTCTTCTTCCTCCTCCTCCTCTTCTTCCTCCTCCTCTTCTTCCTCCTCCTCCTCCTCCTCCTCCTCTTTTTGGGAACAGGGCTCTTCAACCTGCGCCAGATCGTCCTGGCCAAGGTGGACCAGGCGCTGCACACCCAGACCAAGGCCGACCCCGTGGAGGTGTTTGCCCAGCTCTGTGAAGAGGTGCTGGGTGTCCCTGCCACCCCAGGTACCCCGTGTCACCCTGCCACCCTCCTGTCCCCACACACAGGGCTCAGCAAGGTCCTCTCGGGTGGGGACAGTTTCTGCTGGCTCTGGGAAAAGCAGAGCTTGGAAGAACCTTGGAAGTTCCTCCCTTTATCCCCCGGGACAGCCCTGGAGGAGGTTTTTCCCACAGGGAGAATCCCCCCTTTGTGTCCCCTCAGGCACAAACATGCCGGCCACCTTCGGCCACCTGGCCGGTGGCTACGACGCTCAGTACTACGGCTACCTCTGGAGCGAGGTGTACTCCATGGACATGTTCCACACCCGCTTCAAGCAGGAGGGAATCATGAACTGCAAGGTAGGGAGAGGGTTCTGCTTCCAGCCAGGCACATTTTGGGTGTGCCAGCCCCACCCCACACCCCCCCGTGTGTGCCCGCAGGTGGGCATGGATTACAGGAACTGCATCCTGCGGCCCGGCGGCTCCGTGGACGCGTCGGACATGCTGAGGAGGTTCCTGGGCCGGGAGCCCAAGCAGGACGCTTTCCTGGCCAGCAAGGGGCTGAAGGTGGAGAGCAACTCGGTGCCTTCGGCCTGAGGCGCCGCTGGGCCCCGGCGGGGGAAGCTCCTGCCCACGCACCCGCCCTCGCCCGGTTCCCGTCACCAAACACCCCCCGGGCCGCCCCTGCCTGGAGCTGCCCCTCCAGGGTCCCGCTCCGAGCCCCTCCTGGCCTTTGGGAGCCGGGCTCAGCCCTCCGTGGTGACGCAGAGGTGACCTGTCCTCGTCCCCCCCCGGGGGCTGGGGGTCACCCGCACCAATTGGCTGAACTTTGAACCTGATTTCTGCACCAGGGTGAGTTTTGGCCTCCTTTAGGAGCTGGGAGGAGGGGGAGAGGAGTTCCCAAACTTGAATCTTTGTTTTTAAATCCCTTCTCTTTTAAGAAATCTCCTTCTTGTTGTTGTTGCCACCTCGGCTTGGTTTGTGACACAGCTGTCACCAGGGCAGGGACAGTCCCGCTCTCCCCAGCTTTGGGCAGCTCTTGGCTGTGCAGTAAAGATGGGGAGATCGCAGAGCTCAGAACCTGCGGGGAGCTGACTGGAACACCCTGCCCTGAGCCCCTCAGGGACCCTCCTGCCCGGCAGGGGGACGGAGGTGGCCGGTGCAGGCGTTCCCATGGCCTCTGTGTGCTGCCAGATGTCCCAGGGCCACCTCGGGGTCGTCCTGGGGCCACCCCAGGGCAGCCAGGGGGGCTCAGGCTGTGGCAGCCCGAGGGTGTTGCTGTTGCTGTCAGCTCCGAGCCGGGCTGGGGCAGGGGAGGGTTGTGTTTATGACTGAAAACAGCGAGCTGACAGCTTCAAACAACACAAATGCCGGGATAAAAATATCCCACGGGCTCCGTGCCAGGCCTTGAGCTGCCAGCGGCGCCACGGGGAGGGACAGCAGCCAGCCTGGGCTGTGCCACCTGCCCCGGGCTGTCCCCAGCGTGCCCCTGGACCCTGTGTGGCACCAACTGTTGTGGCACGAGGTTCCTGACCCCGCTGGCCAAAGGCTGGGTTTGCTCCCGGCTTGGGAAAGGTTTGGAGCGGATTCCCCAGGAGCTGAGGAGCTCCAAGGGGGGAGTTGGGATTTGTCCCCTTCCAGCCTCGGGTGCGTTGAGAGCCGTGGGCTCCGTCCCTGCTGCGGTTTGGGGTGACAGCCACCATCGCAGCCACTGCAGGGGCTCCACAAAGCTCCCCCCCAGCGCACAGTCCTTGCTGTCACCTCCCTCCCCCAGACCCCGCTGGTGGCAGGGGGAGGCCGGTGACAGCCCCCAGCCCGTCCCCTCTGGCTCTGAGTCCCCTCTGGAAGCGGCTCCTTGGTGCTTGCCGGGGCCACCTCGAGCATCTTGTCCTTGTCCCCCCTCTCCGTGTTCCGGGCACGGCCGGGCGCTGCCGGCCCCCGCTGCCCCTGGCTGTTTTTAGTGTCCCGTTTTACCGAGCTTTCACCGTTCCCTCCGACTCTCCAGAGAGCAGTGGAGCTGGACAGGGAAACCACGCACTTTCCTCCCTCTGGCCCCTCTCCCACCAGGGGTGACCTGGCACCTCTCCAGTCCCAGGAGCAGCCACCGGGACGTGGAGCTGCACCTCCCCATCCCCATCCCAGGCTGGCGAGGAAGAGAGCTCCTTTATTTTGGGGTGGGTTTGGATTTGGGGGTTGTGGGGTTTGGTTTTTTTCCTGCTAACAGTTTTAAGGGCAAACCGGTGTGCGTGTGTGTGTGTGTGTGTGTGTGTGTGTGTGTGTGTGTGTGCGTGTGTGTTCGTACTGGTCACGTCCCACCCCGCTTGTTTCCATGACTGGATTTTAGACGGTTCCCAGCACTAATAAAGGTTTTTCCTCCGCGGATGTTCGGGCTCAGGTGCTTTGGGGAGGGGCACGGCCACCCCCGGGGGTGGCAGGGACGCAGCCACAGCCCCGCCAGCACCGCAGCCCCCGCAGGATCCGGCGCAGGGGCTCCTGTCCCACGAAGATGGGCACGGAGTGGCAGGCGCGGGGTGGCAGCGCGTGGGGTGTGAAACCCTGGGGGGCGACAGGCGGTGAGCCCCGCGTGTCCCCCGGTGTCCCTCGGGGTCACCCCCCGTGTCCCCCAGCCCCGCACCTGGGTGAGGAAGGGGTGGGCCAGCACCCCCGCCAGGCTGGGCCGTGCCGCGGGCTCGGGGTCCAGCATGTGGGCGATGAGGGCGCGGGCGCGGGGGGAGAGCTGGGGGGGCAGCGGGTACCGAGCCCCCCGGATGCGCCGGTACAGCTCCGGCCGGTGGCGAGCCTCGAACGGGGCGTGGCCGGTCAGCGCCGTGTACCTGGGGGGGAGCGGCTGGGAGGCAGGGCCGGGAGCGTCCCTGTCCCCGCTCCGGTGTCCCCGTCCCCGCTCCGGTGTCCCCGTCCCCGCTCCGGTATCCCTGTCCCTGTCCGGTGTCCCCGTCCCCACTCCGGTGTCCCTGTCCCCACTCCGGTGTCCCCGTCCTCCCTCTGGTGTCCCTGTCCTCCCTCTGACCCCCTTGCCCTCCATCTCCCCTCACCCTCCCTTCCTCTCCCCTCACCCTCCCTCCCTCTCCCCTCACCCTCTCTCCATCCCCCCTCACCCTCCTTCCCTCCCTCTCTCTCCCCTCCCTCCCCGCTCACACAGCGCAGCCCAGGGCCCAGACATCCGATGGCACCGCGTGTCCCCTGCGCTCCAGCACCTCCGGGGCCAGGTAAGCGGGTGTCCCACAGAGCGCCCTGAGCCGGGGGACAGGAGAGGTGACCCCCGGGGACACCCCCGGCCAGGGGGGAACCCCCGTCCCTGCAGCCCCCGCTCACCCCCAGCGCCGCCCGGGCGGTGCCGCCCGCCGGGCCAGCCCCAGGTCCCCGATCTTCACCCGCATCCGCTCCGTCACCAAGAAGTTGCCTGTGGAGGGAGGGACGCGAACCTCGTCACCCTCCGGTCACCCCCCGGTCACCCCCCGGTGCCTCGGGTCACGCCCCCGGGTGTCCCCCCGAGCCCCACGCACTCAGTTTGAGGTCCCGGTGGACGAGGCCGTGCCCGTGCAGGTAGCGCAGCCCCGAGAGCAGCTGCCGCAGGTAGTAACGCACCTCCGGCTCCGTCAGGCGGCCCCGAGCCCGCAGGATGTCAGCCAGGGACTGGGGACAGAGTGACAGGGACTGGGGACAGAGTGACAGGGGCTGGGGACAGAGTGACAGGGGCTGGGGACAGGGACAGGGGCTGGGGACAGAGTGACAGGGACTAGGGATAGGGACAGGGGCTGGGGACAGAGTGACAGGGGCTGGGGACAGAGTGACAGGGACTAGGGACAGGGACAGGGGCTGGGGACAGAGTGACAGGGGCTGGGAAAGAGCAAGGGAGGCCTGAGGACAGAGCAAGGCATCAGGCTGGGCCCTGCTGAAGCCCCGGCCTGAGCGAACTCAGTTTTGGGGTTCACTGGCTCCGTTTTGGGGTGTCTGGACTCAGTTTTGGGGTTCACTGGCTCCGTTTTGGGGTGTCTGGACTCAGTTTTGGGGTGCAGGGGCTCATTTTCGGAGTGCAGGATTTCAGAGTTCAGGGGTTCTGTTTCAGAGTTCAAGGGCTCAGTTTTGAGGTGCAGGGGCAGATTTTTGGGGTTCTGAAGCTTGGTTTCAGGGTTCTGGAGCTCGGTTTCAGGGTTCAGTAGCTCTGTTTCGGGGTTCAGGAGCTCGGTTTCGGGGTTCAGGTCTCACCCCGCGGCTGCAGAGCTCCAGCAGCAGGCAGAGGTGGCCGCGGTCCGTGAAGTGCCCGTGCAGGCGCACGATGTGCCGGTGGCGCAGGTGCCGCTGCAGCTCCCGCTCCCGCTCCACCTGCACCGAGAGGAGCCCGGCAGCCCCGGGGGGGGACCCTCGGCATCCGGAGATCCCCGGGAACCCACCCAGAGAGGGACTACCCCACGGCTACCGTCCCCTCTCGGTGGCGAGTGTCCCCGGGCGGACTCACCCTGTCCCCGATGGCCGCAGTGGCGAGCCGGGCTCGCGGGATCACCTTCGCCGCGTACAGCCGGCCACTGGTCACCTCTGTCACCTGGTAGCAGCGGCCGAAGGTGCCCTGCGAGTGGGAATGGGCAGCCAGGAGGGGCTCCCGAGGGTCGGGGCGCCCACCCAGGCACCGGAGCTGCTGAGGCTCAGTCCCCTGCCTCAGTTTCCCCTTCCTCAGAGGGGATGGGGTGGGTCCCCCCGGGTCCCCAGCGGGGAGGGGGCGCTGGGGAGGGGGCGAGGGGCGGTTCAGGGGGGCACGGGGAGCGGGGGGGTGAATTTACCTCTCCCAGGAGCCGTCCCCGCTTGTAGAGCGCGCCGCTGTCCCGGTCCCGGAGGTACCAACCGGGGGGGGGCTCAGCCCCTGCGCTCCGCGGGACCATCCCGCCCGCTCTGCTCAGCACCGGCGACACCCCAAGGGACACCCGCACCCCGACACTGTAACCCCTTCAGCTCCGGGCTGTGGGTGCCCCTGGAGCCCAAGGGTGCTGCGTGTCCCCCCCACCCCCCCGCACACCCAACACCCACCGCTTTGGACCCCCCAAGCCCCCTCAGAAGACCCCCATCAGGCAGCGGAGACCCCCTCGGGGGTCCCGGCCCCTCGGGGATGCCCAGCACCGGGAGGTCCCGGATCGGGATCCGACCGCGCAGGGGGGTCCTGGCGCCCCTTCCCCTCCCCCGCTGGGGCTGAGGGGGTCCCGGGGGGGGCGCTGATGTTGCTTTGCAGCACCCGCGACCCCCGAGACGCCACCAGCCCCCCCCCGACCGCCGGAGCTCCGGGCCCCCAAGGGTTAACGGGCGGCCGGGGAGGGCTGGGCGCACCTTTGGGGCTGGATATTAATAACGCGGCGGGGAGGGACGGGAGGCGAACGGGGAGGGTGTGGGGGGGGGGGAAGCCTCGCCCGGCCCCCCCGGAGCTGCGCAGGCGATGCCCGCTCGCCCCGGGTCCCCCCCGCTCCCCGCAGCCGGGACACCGGACCGGGACCGAGCGGCCGGGACGCCGCGGGCGAGGCGCGGCATGGCCGGGGGGGGCTGTGGGGGCGGCTCGGACCCCCGCGGGGGACCCCACGGTGCCGGGTAAGCTCCTGATTTCTGCTTTAACCCTCGCGGGCCCCCCTGCCCCCCACCCCTGTGCACCCCCGGAGCTCCTGCGGGGAAACTGAGGCACGCGGTGCCCCCCCCCCCCGCGCTGCCAGCGGGGTCTGGGCATCACCCACCCGGTATCGTCCGAGCCTCGGCGGGGTCCGGACGCTCCCAACAACCCCCCCGGAGCGGCGGCAGCGCTACCCCCCGGCCCTTTCACTGTCCTGCTGGGGGGACCCAGAGCCCAGGGCTGCCGGTGGCCACCCGCGACCCCCCGGTAGCCGCGGGAGCTGCGCGGCGGGACGGAAACGGCCGGGCCGGGGCATTCCCCGACACGGGGATGGGACCCCGGCACCCCCCGCACCCCTCGGCACCTCCCAGAACCCGAGCTGGGCGCTTTGGGGGTGCTGCAGGATCGGGCTCTTTGAGCCTTGGGGGTCCCCCCCGCTGCCCCCCACCCTGCTCGCCCCACGGCGGGGCCGGATCCGGATCGGGGAGCGACGCGGAGCCCCGGCGTGCAGGTCTGGTCCTGCCCCGGCAGGCAGCGATCCCGGCCCGGCGCCCGCCGCGGGGGCCCGGGGGC